TCATCTTCCCACAGAAGCAAGAATATTGTCAGCTATCCTGTGCGGCAAAAACTTAAGTTGTATTTAGCTACATAGTGAAAAGCTGGACTATTCAAAGTGTCATGCTGCTGGAAAGCACAATATTAACAACAGTAAAATAGGCAGGAAATAACCCATTTAGAAATCTGTACAACATTCAGCAACGGCTGAAGCTCATCCATAGCACAAGGTGTTCAGGAAACAGCATGGTAGGGAAGTGGGGAAAATGAGGAGGGAGAAAAGGATGCTATTATCTGCATGAGGACAGTTCTGAAAAGCACCTAAATTTGACCAGAGGTAGATTTCATTAATTTATAGTTCTCCAATATATTGAATTATCAAGCCTACACTCAGAGCAACAAGGATGTCCATGCAGGGTCTCTGCTTTACCACAGAAACTGGCAACTTAACCAACTCTGCTGTTACCATGAGTACACTAGCGCAGAGGTTTGTCTCTCCCATTAATTCCTTCCCACCTCTCCTAGACAGAAAAATCAACTTTTACATCTTTTCCCCTTCACATGATTAGTATTATACCCTAATGCTTGATAAAGACAACAGAATTTATAGCAACAAGTATCAGTTGACAGCATAGTAAGAGAAATTGGCAAGATATTTTAAAACTTAAGAGTTTTATAAGGACTTTTTTCTCAGAGATACTTCTAGATGCCAGGTCAGTTATCTCCTGGAAAAATTATACAACAAAAGACTGTTTTCTAGAAAGTTCCTGGAACTCATCAGAAGACAGGTAATTTAGCTCATAAAATGCTCTTTTAGAAGTCTTAAGGAGAACGATCACATGAGTTTGCACGGGGAAAACCTAGTTTGAGAATTCAGATCTCATCACTTTCAAACTCAAGAAAACACAAACCAAACAAGGACATGTAATCAAGAAACCCAACCCTTCATCTTCTAAGACCTTTTGACTTTTAGATATTTTATCTTCTAATTGTTCAGAGTTTGTACATCCTTCATATTATCTTTTTATGAGAATTAAATACAAGCTTAACTCAATATAAAGGAAGGATAGCACCAGAGTAGTGAATTACCAACTTGGCTATCTTTCCACTGACCTCAGAAACAATAGGTTATCCAGAACTGGAATTTCAACCAAATTATTCAGAAAGAATATAAAAGCACATATAACTAAAGACAGAATAAGTAAGGCTGTACAAAACCAAGATATAAGCATCTGTTTTTTCTTGGCATATCAAGGATAAAAAACAAGTAATTTTGACCAGAAAAAGCCAGTGCCGCATTTGGAAAGCTAAACGAAATCTATTAAGAACTTCATGAAGCTCAATTGGTAAAGACAAATATAGGATTAAATTCATGTCAGCTTACTTTTTACCTTAATCTGTGTCCCAGGTTTACCAGTGTAGCAACTCTATACTACTTCTATATATACATACATATAGATGTACAAATACCAACAGGCAACACGTTAATCTAGGGCCTGATTTTCCCTCTAGATACCTGTTCTCTCTTATTACAGAGTACTTAAAAATCCTTAGGTAGTTCTAACATGTTATGAGTGTGGGCAAATGAGCTACTTAACAGAACACCCAGGAGAAGACAAGAGAGCCAAAAAATTAAAGTTTATTTAGCTTAAATCCAATCCTGCAGAACATCAAAGTAAATATTTTTAGAAGAAAAAAAAACAACAACAAACACCAACAAAACAAAACAAAGCCCAAAGCAGCAACTGCCACAACGAATGCCAAGAACAAGAAACTGAGTAAGTGTAAACAAATGAAGTGCAATAAAGTTATGGCAGTTACTAATAGATTAATGTATACCATAATCAACTAACACTCACACTGTAAAGCAGCATCAGGAAATAAACTGAATATGGGTTTTGCTTACCAGTTTGTCCCAGCAGACTCACCTTATGTGAGTGCCACTAATGACACCAACCACCCTTATCATGCTGTTAGTTACCCTTCAGTAGCTGCTTGAGCATTTGAAGCATATAATCAAGTGTTTAAATACAACAAGGCAGGGACAGAAAGCTTTCATCATTCACATGCCAAGGTTAGACCTGAACATATTTAGACATATTTAATGGTCAGAAGAATTACAAATACATTTAACTGACTTGAGCTGTCCTGCATCTGGAAGGATTGGCCCCGAGATCAAGGCACCATACAACATTACAGCCCAGACTGACCAGGTCAACTGCTCTGGTATCAAAACTATAAAATAGCATAGTCCAGATTACAAACAGTATTCTGCTTTATTTTAGCTACTTTATACACAAGGCTGATAAAATAATATCTTGCTCTGCCAACACTGCAGGAGATCCAATACAGGAAGAAATAAATATTGTAAGGGAGGACAGTGGGGACATAATCTACAGGAAGCAAATCCACTCACCTGCCATTTTTTTTGATGTAGGTTGCTAAATAACCATGGTCTTCCCAGTTATGAACTGTTTCTGTCATTCCCTGCTCCTGAAAAATGGGCTGTAGAGCTTTAAGAACGGCATTGCAATCAGCTGAAAGATTAAGAGAGGGAAAAAAAAAAAATCAGTAAGGATTTTCCACTCAAGTCACTGCTTTCTTGAAAGGCTTTTTCCTGGCAGCCTGGACTAATTCTTCTTTGATAATCATTTGAATAATAGCTTTTATGTATCTTCTCTCTCCATCCCCAGAGATATTTCCCAGTGCACGGGGATCCAAACAGTTTTAAATCAGTTTTTAGACCTGAGCAAAAGTGGTTATCTACCATGGATGTAGTAAGAGTATTTTTATTATGGCTACTATTGGTCACCTAATGTATCACAATCCAGAGAAGTCCTTAATCATATAATTAATTTTTAAATCATTTAAAAACACAAACTATAATCCCAAAAAGAAACCACAGCACTGACAAACTTTGAAAAATGCTGAGCTGTAGGACAGGGAAGCCACAAAAGGCATTGAAAACTAGAGCGGGCAAACTCACCTATCTACTCTACCCCTACAGAAACATCCTTTTTCTATCATCCAGGTCAGAGCAGCCCAGTTGAAATCTCCACAATGCTATGGAAAAGATCCCTCAGAAGAACACACAAACTCACTCAGAAGTAAAGTTACTCTGGCAATCATCTTCAAAAGCAAGCTGAGGAATTGCCCATAAAGGTATTCAGTCAGCATATGCTGATTTCAGAAGCCTCAAGTTTGCTGTAGAGTTTTGCGGGGGTTTTTTTACCCACAACATTCTTCACTATGATTTTAGATTTTCCAAACAAGTGTTTCAAAGTTGCGAGCTTTGTCCCTTTATTTTGGAACTGATGAAGTGAGCTACTGGACCATACTCCTGAAACTTAGCAAGAACAAACCTGGAAAGACCGTCATGCCAGTGTCAGTGAGGAGTACTAACAAAATATTAATCTACAAGTTGTCCTAGTGAGGTAAGTGTCTTTTTTGCTTCACAAACACAGAACTAAGCCACTACAGTCATGCAATATTTCAATAATGTAACCAGGATTTAGAGTCTATCACAAACATCACATTATGAAGGCACAGCTTACAGCCAAATGCACAGACACATTCTTCCCCCACCACGACTTCAGTAAACAGTTATTCCCAAGGTAATTATTTTGTTTTAACCCCTGTCCCCAAGAACCATGTATGTTGCAAACTAGTAAGTGTAGCCTTACTATAGATGTAATCAGCAATAGTTTCCAGGATGCTACTGAGCTGTACAAGCTTCAAAGAAATGCAAAAAAAAAATTTGTAGCAAATAAATCAAAGTTCAGCTCATCTATCATCTCTATGCAACTCCACAGTATGCTAAGCTAAAAATCTGGTTCCTTCAAATCTGTATTTGCTCATTTGTAAACCCTGGACTCAATTATCCTTGGATGTTTTAACCAGACAGACTGAAGTAACAGATAAAATGTTTACTTTGTTTTTCAAACACAAAGTCCAGAGTAACCCAATTCCCAGGATATTTAGTAAAAGTAGAAAGGTTTTTGCTTCTTATTGCTCACAGATCAGATCTTGATGCATGTTCTGAGATAAGGACTTACTTTTCACCCTCTACACCTCACTCATTAACTCCCCATGTTGCAAACTGAGGGAAGAATAGAACCAGCAAAATCAAGTTCTGTTGGACAACAGTGAATAATTTAGCTGCTGGCCCCTTCTCAGTCAGCAGCACCACTGATGAAACACCACACACAGCCCATCACCACTATGAAGCTTCTTCCTTCCCCCTACCTTCCTGTCAAAATCCGCATTATTTGTGCCAGGAAGTTTTCAGACTTCCTATCCAGCATCAGGTAGTACCATAGCACAGGCAATAATTAAGGCTCAGACTACATAGTTTGTCTGCTCCAGTAGCTTTGATTACAGTAGTATTAAGTGGAACAACAATCCAGCCAACATGTTTCTCAGACATCAAAAGCATAGATGAAATGGGGCCGTAATTAAGAAACAGTTCTTAAACTGGTTCTAATCTCTGCAGCTTTGCAATGGGAAGGGAACTCCGCAACACTCACTTTAAACTAGTCACTTCTGGCAGGCATCAGCACTTTCTGGAGAAGATAGGAGCACTTGCTCCAAGACCAGTATATTCAAAAAGAATTTTTGTCACTTTAGACAAAAATGTCTAAAGTGACAAAAGGTCCTGTCTTCTTGCCTGGCATTTGCTTCTTGCCCCACTGCTTTACCTTCTCCATCATCTTTTTCAAACACATGTTCATTTCCATCCCTTACTTCTAAGTCAATGTTAAACAAGAACTCAGTTTAATAATGCATGCCATACCCTTCCAGGGAAGTAAAATAGTATGAAACCAAATTGAACGAGTATGCAACTAGAACACAGAACACACTTCTGCAGCTCCTTCAAGATCGCAGTAAGACGAAGAACAGACTGGAAGAACCAAAGTGCTCATACCACATTTAGCCTGTTTCCAACTGCTTCAAGTATTCCTGCTAGGTGCACTTCGGCAGACACCACAGGACATACCATCACTGATATTTTTCTGGTCCATGAACATACCATTCCTCACAACCTGCTCATCATTCAGCAGAAAATTTCTTTGCTAAGCAGTCAGGCACAAGCTTAAGCTCTTCCTATTACGCTATTAACTTTAGGAAATTAAAACAACAACACGTTCTTTCATCAGGTCTCCATTTAGTTATACCACACAAGATTTGCCTTGGAGGGCTAATTAATTCTCCAAAGTTGAAGACTCCTTTATAAAATGTTTGAGGCATAAGTGGCTGCTTGAAGGCATCAGGAAGTTTCAGCAATCTCAGGATCTCTCACTCAAATCTACTTGCCACCACCTCACTCCAAGCTCAGATATGCTATATCAAGAATTGATAAACAAAAAGGACAACGGTGATTAGAACAATAGGAACACTTCTGAATCTACATCAAAATGTTTATTCAAGTAGTCATTACTTTTTTTTACTATTCAGGAACAAAGGAAACAAACTCTGGTACCAAGCATGAAATACTGTTTTAAGTATTTGATAATTATTTGCCAGAAGGAATGAAAAATACCCAGTGTTTCGCCAGAAACAAAACCCACTGTGTGTAAGATTTGAGATATGTATTTTTCAGGAGAATTAATGCCCAGTTTAGCCAGAAAGCTTTTGAATCCCAGTACAACTGATGAGATGACTTGCAGCAGTTGCAGACATTCCTCTGAAATTTGAGGAGCAAAACAGCCATTATTTGACATTGGTCTGTGAACATGAGAGCATTCTCTCTACTGTAAGCATCTAATCTAGCTTCATGCACAACACCGGCTAGTGACACTCAGATACTCCAACACTGAACCACATAATCTGCTATTGAGCCAGACTGTCTCTAAAAATATTCTGGTTTAAGATGTCCTCATACCAGAGGATTGACAAAATCTTAGTAAGCTATGGGAACAGATTAGCTCTCATTTGGAAATATTCACCCCATTTCCAACTTCAAGTTTCTCTTAGCCTGAATTTAAATCATTTCCCGTAACAAGTGAGAATGCAACTTACCCAAAACAACAGAGCATATCAAAACACTTACATATGCTTCTGCATATATTCTAATGCAATTCTGATACACTTTCAATAGAGAAAGGTGAAGAAAATAAATCAAATTAAGTGTTTCATTAAGAATACATTAAAGAGTTAGCATACATTAGGAAACAAAAATGCAGAATATGCTGATAGCAAACAGCAACCTGAACAGCTGGCATATTGTTTCAGTTCAGAGCTGTTTAAATTGTTTCAATATAACAAATCACTGTGCTATGCAAGTCTGATATTCCTGCACACAGGCACCCTACCTGCCAATTCCAACTCCTCAAAACTGAGGAAAAGGAAATACAGAGACAAGGTGGGGTGTCAGGTACAAGTGATGAAGGGAACACACCTGAGGTAAAAGAGTCATTTCTAAGCAAGTGAGGTCTCAAGGGCAGTTCAAGAAGAACAGCAGGAGGTTGTGCCTTCAACCTGCTGCAGCAGCACACCTGACTGCTCTGGCACTAAGCCCACCTGAGTCATGTCAGGCAACTCACAGTGCCTCCGTCCTCCACCACTTACTGGAAATAGAGTTGGTGGAATTCTTGCTAGTGGTTTAAGTAATGACTTGCTGGTTGTGTACCTGAACTTGGATTTTTGTTATTGTGCAGGAAAGGCCAGAGAAAAGTGGCTGCACAGCTCTGTTATGTTCACACTAACATTGGAGACTTGGACAAAGATTATCCCATAAAGGTGATGTGACTGCATGAGCTATCTTAGAAAAAGTGTTTGTGTCCTAGTGCCATCTGAAAGCCCCTATATATTTTGTGTTACTTTGGCCATCCTTGTTACTGAAGTTGCAGTGAGTTTTTTGAGACTACAAAAGAAAAAAGTTTCCTTTTTTAAAAGTGATCTTAGGAAAACGGAAACAGCTTTTTTTTTCCTCCCTTGCATTCATTTGTCTAAAGCTGTGCTTCCACAGACCTCATTCTGGTGAGTGGCAGAGGGCAAACCAGTCAACTTTGTGAGAACCCTGCATGTGGGGAAGATCAAGGAAGAAGGTGGGCATAGATTTTGGAAGGTGTGTGGCACTCTTTTGCCCTCCTCCTCTTACCAGGATAGCAATCCTTCACATAAGCCAAACTGAAGAGTGAAGCATGAAAATAAAACTATGTGCTTATGCTTTAATGTAATGCTAGTTACCAAGTCTATATAGGGGTTAACTACCTAAATGTTCATGCCTGCATAAAGCAATCACATTGCACATATGAAATTAGGTAGGCTAACAAGTCTCGAAGCACAAATGAAGACTCATCTCTGCAACATACATATGGAAAGAATCAGAAAGCATCTGCTACCTATTTGGAGATCATTCACACTCTAAGACTAACTTAAAATTAGTTGTGAACATGAAAGCACTTATTAATAAATTTTATAACCAGAGACCACTTTGCCCCCCATATCAACCCACAGAGTGACTTCCTAATTAATACATTCTTGACTTCTGGGGAAAAAATAAATTAAAATCAAGAGACTTACTGAAGGCATT